GATTCGCTTTTTTATTTTTAATTGTTATCTACTATTTTAATCGAAGCTTGTATAAAAACTTATTGATTCACTTCCGAGGTGATAATAATAATAATAATATTATTTATAAGTACGATAGGTACGTAAGTACAACAATTTTGCGAAGAAACCAACATTTCCTTATTAAAATCGTTATCGATTTATACACGGTTTAATTGACACAATAATGATCATAAATCGATTAGATACTTCTTTCCTATGTTTGGTAAATATATGTATGTATATACTTATATGTGTATATAATGTATAGAGTTTAAAAACGTACACAAATCACAATAATTGCATCAACAATTTAATAAGAATAATAAAAAGGATGATTATGACGATGACGATGATGATGAGAATAGCGGTAATAAAAATATTTGTTCTCGTAGCTCATCAAGTTTAATAATTATTTGGAATTCCTTTTCCATCACTAACCTTCTAATCGTTTGTGTTGGGTGAAAGTTACGCGTGTGTTTATTAAGTAATCGTAGCCGAACATGGGCAGCCTATTTTTTTTTGTATCATCATCTTACTTATTTACTTCAACTGACAAAACGGTATCTTTAATATCTTCTTTGTATATGTATATAGTTAATTGATATGTACATTAAGTATTAACCATGATTTAGATGGACGCGTGCCATTAACGTCATCTGAATGGTAGTCGCAACAAAAGCTTTTTCATCTTCTGACAATAAGTTAAGATATTTACATCGTCCGGGCTATGTAGCCGTGGTCCAGCAGGATAAAGGTTGGATACATTATGTATCCTATTGGACAACGCTACACAGCCAGGACAATGTAAACCTAGTAACTCAAACAGTATCGGGCGTGAAAGCCTATATTGTTACCAAAGGTCTTTCACTTAATTTCTCTTTGCTTCTAATTGACTAACCATTTTGTGGCAATACGATTACTTCGTAATGGAATAATAAAAATTAAAATTGCACACAAAAATAATATTTAGACAATGAAAAGGGATTATTGACGTGTGTGGAGGGGGGGAGATAAAGTATCACAGGTTATAAACGAAGTGTGATTAATTTTAACTAAACAAACTGAGTAGGGGTATAAACTTAATCAAGTGATTGAAATTTATCTAACAAGTTGGGATACCTATCTAATAGAAGTAAATCTCATCCGTATGAGTATAAAAAGAGCAGTTCGATGGAGGATAAGCTACTACAGGAATGTGGACACGGTTTAAGTTACAATATGGGCGGCGCCTGGCCACCTACAGCCTGTTTGTAGTTGAAATAATAATTGAGCAGATCTCCCTTCTCCTCGATTTCTATACACCCATGAATGGTATAATATGTTTATAGGTCAGAATAACTTTGCACACAAAAGAAATAATTACGTTAAATATTCACAATATCACATATACATTATTTTGCCAGACTGCGATTATCTGTAGGCCGGTAAACGAGACGCCGTGTCTCTAAATTAGCTTCATCCGAAGTCAGTAGCCGTTCGTGGATAACTGTGTAATACACATTACGCGTAGAACGAAGGAGATGTGGTAAATAGGATACGAGACTCACCTGGGACCTAGAGGATATCAGACGGTAGCAGGAAGAACTTAATTTCGTTTGTTCATTATCCAAACAACGTTCTACTGACAAATGTTTCGTTCCTACAGACGGGCAAACTCTTCCATTATTATTTAATTTGAAAAAATTGTCCTAACAGGGGGATTATTATCCTTTACTATGGCCTCGTCACCTACCTCTGGGCGACTTCGGAGGAGGCCATTCTCTACGTTACTACTTCTTCTGCTTTCTAACTACTATTCCTGCATAAAAAATCGAAACGTTACTATAAAAATTCGTCGTTCGAAACTTCAATTTAAATAATTACAAACGTCAGTCTTTTCGTGTTCGTCGTTTCGACGAGGGCCGCTTCTCACACGTGCGTCGCTAACGCCCCCCTCTTCGTCGTCGTTATGTACTGGTGATTGGTGGGCGAGTTCGGCAGTCGTGTCAGCTGGGGGGTAGCCGCCGTGACCGCAACACCGTTCGCTGCTGCACTGCCCGCACAAATGTTCATCGCGGCATTACTACAGTTCACTAAGGTACGGGAGGTGGAGGATGTGTCCCTTGAATAGGGCGGGGGCGCCGGTGTGGCCACCGGATTCGCGGTATTTGGCGTGGGCAAGCCGACGCTAGAACTCCTCAAATAGGGGTTTCCGTAGGCCGCACTGTAACGGGGATCTATGGAGCCCCCCATTGTCGTGTGTCCGTTAGGAATGCTGCTACTGTTAAGGTCGTTTAGTGTTATGGTGGACGAGATTGTGTAATGAGGGGCTTGCATGGCGTTTAATTGGAGCGCTCTGGACTGTAAGCTCTCTGATGATTCCATGGGAGGAGGTTGAGGCATTGGAGGGTTGTAATCTCGAGCGTAATCGACATACGGTACGTAACCGTTATTGTTTTGCCCGTCCTACGGTACAAAATTTTATTAATAAATATTAAAAGTTTGTGGTAAACGAATGACTTACTTTTGAGGCAAAATTGGCATCCGTATAATCCGCCGAGTACCTGTAAATGTCCTGGTTCGAAATAGCCACCGGTCCTGCCAATGGAACCCCTATTCTTGTTATAACCGATTCGCTGCCCGTTTCTGATTCGATTCCCGGCACATAATCGTCACAATGGACGTTACTGACCGAAGATCCCGTCCTCAGATCTATTTTAAGATCGGAAATGTTGGAACTTCTATCCGACTCTTTGCACTGCTTCTCCATTGTGTTATTTTCTCCTACAAATTAATTTATTATTATTACTGCATTTTTTATTCTAATGGCTAAAACTCACCATCAGGCTGAGATTTCTTGTTTCCCTGTCTTTGGCAAAGGAAGACGATCATGACGACAATGACGAGAACTATGATGGCCCCGACGACGCCCACAATCACGATAAGTATTGGGAAGTTTTCTGAAACGGTAACTAGATATGTAACATTAATAGACATAAAGAAAACTAATCCGAAATTGTTATCAACACATACTTTGCGGTATCAAATTGATTTCGACCACGTCCGTTCCGTAAGCATTCGACACCGTGCAATTGTAGTTACCGAAGTGTCTGCCCTGCGACTCCCTGATGATCAGGGTGGACTTGATGCCCTCCGGGATGGGGTCCTCGAGGATGGAGAAGTCCTGATCGTGTACGTCCACTTCTTTCCCGTTAAACGTCCAAATGACGTGATCTGCCGCAGGGACAGAATAAGCGGTACACTCAACACGTACATTATCGCCTTCTATACCAAACTGGGTCCTACGACTTATGATATTCGGAGGACCTGAAAAAAAAATAAATTGGAATCGATTTGAAATTTAAACTGATTGATAAATACTCACCCTTGAGGTAGATGGCGGCACTTGCTTCGACATCGGGAAATCCTGGGATGTGCGCCTTGCAAAGATATCGTCCTGCAGTTTTTCTCTCTACTTTTACTGTTAAGTTGGGGTTGTTGCTGACCACCTCGTTCGTGTCTTCCTTTATCCACGTTATTTCCGGCAGAGGATTACCGTCCACATCACACGTAATAGTCTTTGTACTTCCTAAATCGGCCTGCACTGACTTTGGTTTATTTCGAAAGTATGGAGCATCTACACAGAAAGAAAATAAAAGATATTCGAAGAAAATGCCTTTCTGTTGTAACAACGTACAGCTAATGTCCAAAGTTTCGCTCTCTTCGCTTTTACCGACCGGATTGTGGACCTCGCATTTGACCATGGAATCGTGGTACTTTCGCGTGACGTTGTGTAAGAGTAGTTCGGTGGTGTAATCGCCTACGACGAGCTCGTCGTTTAAAAACCACCTGTACGTGAGATCCGGGGGATTTGCGTCCGCGTTACATTTCAACCTCACATCGCTACCTTCTAATATTCTGCCATTCGACGACGTTTCCGACACAATTGACACCGTCACTTTCGGAGCGTATTTCACCTGCAAATAAAATTCCCATCAATATTATTCATATCTTATACGAATTAAATTCAAATATAAATTATAAAATAGTTTAGTAAATTTAAATCGCTCTAGAGGGAGTAATGAGCAAGCGCAGTTTTCTTTATATTTTATTAGCATTCCGTATATGCAACCCAACATACACCCGGTATATCCGTGTTGCAGAGATCTGTCAATGGGGTCTGCTTTTTAAATTAAATTATAATATTTTGTATCTTATACATTGACAATTGGGCTTAATTTCTACTTATCAGCTTTTCAGGTCGCATTAATTTATGAAAAATTACAAAGAGAAATTACTAACTTTTGTAAAATAAGTGATATAAATATTAAAGAAAAAAAGTTACTTTCATCACATTTTTTTCCAATTATTTTAACGACCTGTATTTATTTCCGAGACCTTTATCTTACTGTTCTCCCACCTCAATTGAATGATACTGATGACACACTTATTTATTAACTAACCAGATGCGAACGAATACCATTGCAGAAGAAACGGTAAATGTGAAGGTTTCTTTATTTATTAAAATGTCATCGTATATTTAGTAATAATACCACGACACACATGCTTAACACATGTATCTCCGTGACATCTCGACATAATGCACAACACGTACGTACGATAATCTACGTGATGATAATTAGCTGTTTCCCCACAAGAACAAATGTGTCACAATCCCCGATTGAAATTAGCATTTTATTATAATTTTCTTGTATTTTTATTACTTGCCATAAATCAACCATAAGATGGGGGGTAAATAACATACCACAACAACTGACCATTCATCGTATTGTTCTTTCTTTGTAAAAATAGACGTTTGATTCGTATTTCTTTAGCGGTTCCTTTGTTTTTTAAAACAACTGATAACAATGAAATAATTCATTTAACCAACTCGTATTAGTTCACTTGTTATATTACCAAAAACAAGTGAATTGACTCGTATAGTTTCAGTTGTTTTAAACAATTAAAAACAAGGGAAGGTAATAAAACATTTAACGTGCATTTATTTACCTCTAGAGAAAGTTTTGCAGATCGATGCGTCCTCTCTGCCGTATTCTGTGCTTGGCACGTAAACGTGGTGTTGTGATGTTCTTTTTTCGGCGTAAGTTTGAGTATAGATTTCGCCGTGAATCTTCTGCCATCGGACAATTCTTCGACGATGTATTCGATGCCATCGGTCAGCACGTTACCATGTCCGTCAATCCAAGTTATTTCAGCTGCAGGCTTCCCACCGTAGCTTATGCATTCGAGTTCTATTTCCCGGTCCTCCGTCGTGATCAGGTGCTTCCCCTGGACTATTCGGGGAGGATCGGGCGGAACGTACACCGTCAACGTGGCAAATTTGCTCCGAATGCCCGGCTGACCCAGCGGACCCGGTGACACCTGACACTGATAACGTGCATCGTCGTCCAACATCACCGGGTAGATGTCCAAAGAAAAATCACCTGGTTCAATAAACAAAACATTAATTATATATATNTATATATATATATATTAATTAAAAATTTGAAAATGTATTTGATAAATTGATGAATTGCCTACAAGCTAGAAAATATTCAATAAAAAACAAAAATAAAGTTCGATCTAACGGTAGAGTCATAGGTAGGTACATTACATATAATATAAAAACCACGTAAAAGGTAATGAGACTAATAAATAATTCTTAATGATTCCGGCATGCCAGTAATTTTTTTAACATACCGCTCGTGTCTTTTAATAACTCGAACACATCGTTATGCAAAACAAGCTAAGATCGGGAATAGGTAATATTAGACGTATCTTTGTGTGCTGCATTCAGACAAGTTTTACAGGAATAATTTAATACAAAAAAAAACGTCCAAAACCCACACAAAGAACAAGAAAAACGCAATAGGTACGTACATGTAAAATTAGATAAATGTATTAATTTAAAATACGAACTTAACTAATGTAATGTTACGTTGATTTGTGTGTGTTTATATACGTATTAATTAATCATTTTCTTTTCGAAAAGAAAACCAATACTTTTTCACATATTTTATTCGGTTTAAAATATTTCACTGTTTTCTATTATAAAATCGACATCAATAATGGAAAGATAAACGAATTCTTAAAAAAAAAAAGTGATTGAGTGTTTCAATTTCACATTGTTTGAAGAAGACAGACGAAACGTCAAACAATCTTACGAAGAGACATCGAGGCAACGACCCCGAGGGTTTTTGGTTAATAATGATTTCGTTGTCCTTTTTACATCCTTATTGGTGTGTAGCCTCAAGGATTATGGAACGATTTGAAATCAAAACGTATACTTTAATTAATGACCTTTACTTTCTAAATAGTTGTAATAATTGATTAAGACCATAGACCAATTTCATTTATAATTACATCCTAATCCTTTCTACGGGAGATACATGAATATTTTTGAAACAAAAAAGAAAAAACTTTCGTTCATTGGACATAATGTCCATTGGGACTTGAGCAACATTTAATTTTGTAAACCTTTACTAACTTGTTTGTGAAGTGGTTTCGAACAAATGCGAAAACTTTCATCAGCAAATAACAAAATACGAGCAAGGTCGATACGTATAACGTTTCAATTTCCGCGAGAAGTTGCGACACATCACCAGACAACATTTCTTCGTTATTATTACCATGTACGAGTGTCACCTACCATCCGCTTCTTGCTTGCTACCTTGGCTCGTTATTATTGGCCGTATTCGTTATTTTCAGGCGGATAACGGTCTAAAACAGGCTTCTAGCCAACTCGTATAAAACTGGCAATTCTTTAATCAGATACAGGGTACACATATACCTGTATAACTGACTTAACTGCATCCAAGTGCAGGCGAAAATTGCATAGAAAGTATATAATTTACCTGCTGGATCGAGATCACGTTATATAATGCGTACCTACGCAAATACCGTGCGTAAGACATTTAAATAAATGATCCAAGATAACAATTCTATACTGCGAATTACAAAAACTAACAGGGCAAAATACCGGAGTGGCAAAATTGAGGACAGCTAAAAAAATTACAATACTTACAATCCAGGGTTTCGTCCCTATCATAAAATGAACTTAAAAAGGCGCTCATAAAATTGTCGGAAGATGGAAGATGTTTACTGAGCTTTGAGAAGTGATAATTATGTAAAAAACTACGAAGAATCTCATGGTACCAACGGTTTTCGAGTGCGGCGTCAAATAAACACTTTCCGGCATTATTTCTGCTAAAATGCACTTTAACATAAAAAGGCGCTCGTAAAATTGTCGGAAGATGGAAGATATTTACTGAGCTTTGAGAAGTGATAATTATCTAAAAAAGTACGTAGAATCTCATAGTACCAATGGTTTTCGAGTGCCGTATCAGACAGGTACTTTCCGCTGCATCATTTGCAAAATATACTTTCCTAATCCGCGATGCTCTAATTAAATTTGCATGTATATTGGAGAAGTCATGTACAGGTCTATAAAACAGCCGAGCTTATGTTTCAGGATAATAAGCCATCGCACTACCTAATTTATTAAACGCCCATCTTTTCTGCCTTAATAATGTTTCGCGTCCCCGTAGTATACGGATCGAGATGTTTTCAAAGTTGTCTACCGATAAATGTATAACATGCTCTCGAAAGAGGATGTTGCACGGTTCGAAAAAATTCGCGATATATTACCTGCGCTTAAGTTCTGTTATAGGTACCTGCAAATCGCAGATTGCTTTCGCAACGTTGCCAATACCTATATACACTAAATTTATCACAACAATCTGTTTTACTCGTATTGCATCCATTGAAGCAACCGTCAACAACAATTGAGAATTGCCGCTTTTGTTTTTAAAATAAATCGCAACAATGGAATCTACTCGTATTCAATTGTTACAGTTAATTGTTGCGCTTGTCAACTGACGGCAATACTAAAATTTACTCGTATTCCATTGTTACAGTTAATTGTTGCACTTGTTTTTAACAACTGACAGTCGCAACAATTGAATTTATTACTCGCATTCAGTTGTTACAGATGACGAATAGGAGAACAACTGCCGTTTTCTTTGTAACAATACCGCTCAAACTGTTATACCTGAAAATGAGTGTCATATTTAACAAACCGCAGTTAATTAATTACAATCATCAATATTCTTTTTGTGATGGCCCTAGAGGATTCCTATCGAAGATGCCATCTGTAACATTTTTTTTTTCTTTTCGAACAATAGTTGAAAATTCGAAGTTCTTTGCGCCGTTGCTGGTTGTTATGTACGGAAAATACCCAACAAATTATAATATTGCATTAATCAATCTTGTCATATCTAGATCTGGCAGTTGTTTTGATTATTATCAATAATGAATGAATTTGGTAACGATTGGCCAGCAACAACCGACAAACTTAGCTGTTGTCGACTTAGTTTTACTGTCGGACGAAAAGGACACATTACGCACCAAAAAAAATTATTCCTCTTATCACATAAACATGCAAAAAGATGGAAGATAAGGAACTGCGTAGTTTATTCATTGCGGTTTACGAAGAGCGATAATTTTATAGTTGTTCTTAGTAAATAATGGTGCGATCTCTTGGCCCAGAAATGGGAAATTACACTTTGGGGATTAAACATTTTACTTTAAGTGGCATTAATCACATTAATTACTCAACGACCCAAATAAGTTTTCATTCTATTTATGTTATTCATTTAAACCTCCCCAGTGTCCAAGAGATACCTTAAACGTCCAAACTTTTCAAGCCATTACCAAATTAGGGGATTTCCCGAAATTCCCAAAGATATTGGCAACGTCGCAGGCGAGTAAGTTTACCGCCACCGGAAACCTACTTAACACATTTAAAAAGTACACCGAGAGGCCATTCCCCCATTCGATGCGGTCCGCATTTAGCCCCCGGGGGCTCCGAGACACGGCAGCCACGACAGCAGCAAAGTTCGTTCGGTCACTTCGCAGCCTATTTGCAACGCGTACGTCCGAAGATACACGAAACATCACGGAATCGAACGAAGTCGATCTATACGCGTGCCAGGTGGTATAAAAGCAGAAGAATAGGCGCCGCAGAATGCACGACTTGTCAGTCGGGCCGAAAGGATTGGGATGGTCTTCGACAATGGGAAAGCATCATCGTCTCATTACAATTTTTATCACCGCAAAATCAAAAGAAAAAACCGTAGTTTACTGCTGTTGTTGGTGGTAGCAGCCGTTGTTTTAATTATCAAGTGAATGAAGTGTTTCCTTTTGGTTAATTACTAATTAATAATTTTAATTTGAACGAAAAGGATAACAGCGGTTGTAATAAAGGGAAATATATTTTAAAGGATTTTCAATTTTCCGCAATTTCCTCCATTTGCTAACGTTTAAATAAATACAGATGGCAGAAAGTGGATCGTGGAGCCTATTGAAGTAGCACTATACCATACCATATATTGTATAATTATACATATACAACACACACACACACAAATGTAAGAGCTGTAATTTAATTGTTAATACCGTCGTCCGGTATACACGGTAATGGTTTTAACGGGTGTGATATTGGATCATAAATAGCCAACTTTATAAAATATACACGAACACGCGAACGTGTGCGAATGTATAAATCGCGGACGTATTTAGTACGTTATTTTCTTTGTTAATTGGCAAAATTGGTGATATTTTGTTGCGTTGTTGTGTGCGGAATTGCCCTGTTCGACCCGCATTTATGGATACGGGAAAGTCCCGAAGAGTTACGGTTGTTTCGCGAATTATTTACGAGAACGGACAATACTGCGTATCTACACATGAATATAAAAAACGAGTTGATATTAGATTTTTTTTGATAAAGACTGTATAGTGTATTACCTAACATTAAAACTATGTATTTAATTACTAATAATAAACCCCTTGAATGAAACAGTTGAATTAGTAACTTTTTTTCATTCGGGTTAAAAACGAAATCAATTTTCCGAGTGACTTACTATCATTGGCTACATAGATATGCATTAATCGGTACGGTAAAAAATTGAAATAAAATTTGTCGTTTTCGACTTGATCTAAAACCTGGTTGCTCACTAATTTTTGCATGACTAAACCATTATCGAATCGTCCATTTTCTCGTTGAGAAAATTTCGCACAGACATGCACACACACCTTTTATAAAGTCGAAACACGCTAGATTTTAATACACGTCACTAAAATGCAATTACGTCACCATAAACGCGATCCTAGTCCCCGTAATTGTCATGCTAAACTTTTTACTCTGACTTTTCACAGTCGAACTCGGCTATAACGAACGATCTGTTTTTAACAAAATTCCTCGCTTCTTAGCGTTCGTTGTATCCGAATCTAATGGTCGAGTCAAACAGTTAATTTATACTTTTTACATATTTCGATACATTTACATTCAAATGTGCATATGTATACCGACACAGACGTATAGTGAGTGGTGTATCGTCTTTTGAAATTAAATTTTAAAGTTGAAAATGGACGAGTCAGCCCATAG